AGCCATTATTTTGAAGTTGACAAGGAACAGAATTTCTGCAACAAGGCCCTAGCTCAGAGTCTTGCCCACCCTCCCAGTAACCTAGTTGTAAGTTCCCCAGGCCTGGCCTTGTTTCCTATTCCTGTTTCCTGATACACAGCAGCTGAGCCAGAGTTGAGAGTGGTGCCCTCTGCTGATTATCTGATTCCAAACTACAGAAATTAACAAAATGTAGAATTTGAGAACCAACATTGCCACCTAGTGGTCAATGGGAGCACTGTCATCACACTGGAGTCCCTTGGTTTACCTAGTGGCACAGGGTCCTCTGAAATGGAAAGGAAAACTCTTCTACCTATTTCCTGAGACCTGTCTCTGGGATAGATGCTGATCTCATGTCAGGGATTTTTAGAGAAAGCATAGCTGGCCATACTTCAAGTTGTGACCAGAGAGCACTTGGATAGGAGTGGGGATAGGGAAGATAATAAGGAGAACTTGCCTGACTTGCAGACAAGTTATAATTGTCCTTTTTTTTTTTTTTTTTCCAGTCCTGGGGCTTGAACTCAGGGCCTGGGCGCTGTCCCTGAGCTTCTTTTGCTCAAGGCTAGCACTCTACCACTGAAGCCACAGCACCAATTTGTCAGGTTGCTGGAGGAAGTAGCCGTGAGGGGAAAACAGTCTGCTGCCGAGAAAGACCACATCCCCATCAAAAACACCATCTGAGTCAACCATTCTTCAACTGCACTGGCCCAAGACCGCTCAAACTGGCAAAACAAGCTATGTGGCACAAGTCCCCGCTCACTACAAGTGCTGCTTTTACCCTGCCTATAAAAGCTCTGCTAGGGCTGGGAAGGTGGCTCAGTGGTAGAGTGCTTGCCTTGCATGCATGAGGCCCTGGGTTCAATTCCTGAGCACCACATAAGCAGAAAAAGCCGGAGGTGGCGCTGTGGCTAAAGTGGTAGAGCTCTAGCCTTGAACTGAAGAGCTGAGGGACAGCACCCAGGCTCCACAACCAAAAAAAAAAAAGCTCTGCTACAACTACACTCAGTGGGACCTCTCTGATCCCAACCAGGGAGTTCATCCAGGAGCGTACACCAATAAACGTTCCTGTCAATCTTTTATTCTTCTCTGTGTGGTCCTTTTCTCGCCTAAAACCTTACACAATTCTCCTCTTCTTCTTCTTCTTCTTCTTTCTTCTTCTTCTTCTTCTTCTTCTCCTTCTTCTTCCTTCTTCTTCTTCCTTCTTCTTCTTCCTTCTTCTTCTTCTTCTTCTTCTTCTTCTTCCTTCTTCTTCTTCTTCTTCTCCTTCTTCTTCTTCTTAGTGTCAGTTGTGGGGCTTGAACTTTAAACCTGGACACTGTCCCTTGGCTCTTCAGCTCAAAGCTGGGGCTCTACCACTTGAGCCACAGCGCCACTTCCAGTTTTCTATTGGTTTATTGGAGACAAGAGTCTCACAGACTTTCTTGCTGGGGCTGGCTTTGAACCATGATCCTCAGATCTCAGCCTCCTGAGTAGCTAGGATTACAGGCATGAGCCACCGGAGCCTGGCTCCCACTTTTTTTCTTTATGTGATAGTGAGGACATAATTGTCTTGTGTGTGTATATATAAATGTGTGTGTGCGTATGTGTGCACACGCCAGTACTGGGGCTTCAATTCAGGGCCTGGGCACTTAGCTTTAGCTTTTTCACTCAAGGCTACCTCCCTACCACTTGAATCACAGCTCCTCTCTAGCTTTATGCTAGTTAATTATAGATAAGTTTACAGAGTTTTCTGCCCTACTAGCTTTGAACCTCACATCTCAGCCCCCTGTGTAACTAGGATTACAAGCATTGAGGCACCAATACTCGGCTATGTTTTTACTTTTCTTTTCTTTTTTCTTTTTTTTTTTTTTGCCAGTCCTGGGGTTTGAACTCAGGGCCTGGGCACTGTCCCTGAGCTTCTTTTGCTCAAGACTAGCACTCTACCACTTGAGCCACAGCGCCACTTCCGGCTTTTTCTGTGTATGGAGTACTGAAGAATCAAACCCAGGGCTTCATGCATGCGAGGCAACACTCTACCACTATTTTACTTTTTATCTGAGTGTTCAGTGGCATGTGTATCCCATCTATATTTTCCCTCTGCTGAGGTTCCTCACAGTGCCTTGGTCCTTGGTGTACCAAACTTATCAATATTTCTAGACCCCACAGGTATCACACATCATTTGTTGGTAATAAAGAAGCCCATGATATTTGACAAAGGCATGATATTTGACACCTGTAATCCAATCATTCAGGAGGATAAAGCAGAAGAATCATGAGTCCCAGGCCACCCTAGGCTATGTAGCAAGACCCTATCTCAAAGAAAGAAGAGAAAGAGAATAAGAAAGACAAGAAGAGAGGAAGGAAAAGAAGAGGAGAGAACAGGAGAGGAGAGGGGAGAAGAGGCAGATGGTAATGTCTCATGTCTGTTATCCAAGCTACTTAGGAGGCTTATTCTGAGGATTGTGGTTAAAAGCCAACTGGGGCAGCAAAATCCATGAGATTTTTTTTTTCTTTTTTTTTTTTTGCCAATCCTGGAGTTTGAACTCAGGACCTATGCACTGTCCCTGAGCTTCTTTTGCTCAAGGCTAGCACTCTACCACTTGAGCCACAATGCCACTTACGGCTTTTTCTGTTTATGTGGTACTGAGGAATCGAACCCAGGGCTTCATGTCATTCATGCTAGGCAAGCACTCTACCACAAAGCTACCTTCCCAGCTCCTCCATGAGATTCTTATCTCCAATCAACCACCAAAAAGCCAGAAGTAGAGTCCAAGTTGTAGAGTGCCAGGCTTGAGTGAAATGACAAAGGGACAGCATCCAAGTCCTGGATTCGAGCCCTGGTACCAGCACAAAAGGAAAGAAAAGAAAAGGAAAAGGTTACATTGATCAAGGTTCATTATACTGGCCAGGTGCCAGTGACTCAGGCTTATAATCCCAGCTACCCAGGAAGCTTAGATCTGAGGACTGTAGTTCAAAGCCATTCATGGCAGGAAAGTCCATGAGACTATCTCCAGTTAACCACCAGAAAACTAGAAGTGGTGTTGTAGCTCAAAGTGGTAGAGTGCTAGCCTTGAGCAAAAAAGCTCAGGGACAGTGCCTAGGCCCTGAGTTCAGGGCCATGGCCAACAAAAAGTCAGAAGCAGAGCTGTGACTCAAGTGGTAGAGCATCAGCCTTGAGTGGAAATTTTTATAATGCCCAGACCCTGAGTTCAAGCTATAGTTCAAGCACGCAAGCCTGTGCGCGCACATACAATTATTTTACTTATAAACTGATATGTTTGAGTGGTGCTGTGGCTCAAGTGCTAGCCTTGAGCAAAAGAAGCTCAGGGACAGTACCCCAAAACCAGAAAAAAAAAGGTTCTTAAACTTTTGGGGAAACTGAGAATATGGCTTAGTGGTAGAGTGCTTGCCTAGCATGCATGAAGCCCTGGGTTTGATTCCTCAGTACCACATACACAAAAAAAGCTGGAAGTGGTGCTGTGGCTCAAGTGGTAAAGTAGTAGCCTTGAGCAAAAGAAGCTCAGAGACAGAGCCTAGGCCCTGAGTTCAAGCCCCAGGATTGAGAGAGAGAGAGAGAGAGAGAGAGAGATTAAAAAAAGAGTCAGGAACATCTATATTTGTGTGTCTTTTTCTTTTCACCTGACCTGCATCCCCATTTGAAGTTTGACAGGTAAAGGAGGATCGTAGCAGTTGCCTCTAATAGGAAGGGCCAGGTGTTCCCAAAGGCAAGAGAAAAGGGAACTTGAATTTGGGCATAGGGGTAGGGGTAAGGGGTAGGGGTGAGGATGGCGGGGGGAGGGCACAGTACAAGCCTGAGAAGCCATGAGCTTCTCCTGGAGACCCTGAAACAGAGCTCCAGGAAGAGGTGATGACAAAAGAGAAGGCTTCTCAGGCCTACAAGAGGAAGTGGACCCAAGAGACACACACTGGAGGTCAGAGAATGGCCATGCAAAAGGAAAGACAGCAAACTGAGTTGCAATGAGCTCCTGAGCCTGCAGCACAGGGCACAGGAAGTGAGAGGCAGAGCGTCGGGCTCGTGTGTGTGTGTGTGTGTGTGTGTGTGTGTGTGTGTGTGTGTGTGTGTGTGTGTGTGTGTGTGTGTGTGTGTGTGTGTGTGTGTGTGTAGGGAGTGCCAGCCTGAGCCTCCTGCCGAGCAGGGTAGCTGGAAGACAGGCACTGAAACCACTAGAAGAGCATGGCTGTTGGTTCTGGGGCAGCAACCAGCCTAGATTTGGGGCTACAGGGACCAAATCCTAAAAAAGCACTTCAGCTAGGAAGCCAAGGATTGTGCCAAGTTAGAGGTAGCCAGATCTGGAAATGTTGGCATTCGGGCTTCTGCACAGACCCTATGCTGAAAAACCCAGCAAATGAGCATAGACTGGGTAGGCTTGTTTCTAGAACCTAGCACTCTGTTCTAACCCCCTCAAACAATCCCCCTTGGTCCGTACCAGGGAGAATGTTCCAGGAGGTGGAGCTACAGAAGGAACTGGCTAGGGGTGGAGCTCAGCATGAGGGACCAAGAGGAAGGCTGGTTGAGGGAGGAGTTGGGGGCCACTTGGGGGTCAGCACTGGAGGAGGGCTTTATACACTCTCACTTGGCCCCTTATTCTGCACAGAACTTTTTGGAAGTTGGAGGGAGAGGGCCATTCAGGATGAGGTGTTGCTCTCTGCAGGGGTTTGGACTCCCCTGAACTCTGCGAGGGGGGGGGGGGGGAGGGGGGGGAGTCATTCTCTCCAAAACAGCAGCTCCTGGATATCTCTAGAACCCTCGATGAGAGGTCTCTCCAAAGAGTACCCTCAACTGCTAAGTAGATTCAGGGCCCCCTTTCTAGAAGGCCTTGCCATCCCTCCTTCTGGGGTGTGCCCTGCCCCTCCCTGAGTCACACCAGGGAGGGGGGGGGGCAAAAGGGAAGAGAAGAGAAGCATTGACTGCAGAGGAAGGAAAGGGAAGCAGAACAGGGGAGGGAGGAGAGGAGCCACACAGGAGTGGGTGACAGAGGAGAGCAGAGAGGGCAGATCTAGGGCAGATCTAGGGCAGGGGGAGATAGAGCAAGGGCAAGCTAAGCATCCCAAGGGGTGCCCCAAGAGTAAAGCACAGGGGCGGAGAGCCAAGGGGGCGGGCCAGCATGTCCCATGGGACCTACTATGACTGCGAGCCCCGGGGTGTCCAGCAGCCACTTGAGTTCTCAGTAGCCCGAGCTGGGCCTGGAGAACTGGGTGACATGTGTGAGCATGAGGCCTCCATCGACCTCTCCGCCTACATCGAATCTGGGGAGGAGCAGTTACTCTCTGATCTCTTTGCCATGAAGCCAGCACAGGAGGCCCGAGGCCTTAAAGGCCCTGGAACCCCTGCCTTCCCCCATTACCTGCCGCCTGACCCAAGATCCTTCGCCTACCCTCCACACACCTTCGGGCCAGACAGGAAGGCGTTGGGATCTGGCGTCTACAGCAGCCCTGGGAGCTACGACCCCAGAGCTGTGGCTGTGAAGGAGGAACCCCGTGGACCAGAGGGCAGCCGAGGGGCCAGCAGAGGTGGCTACAATCCCCTGCAGTACCAAGTGGCACACTGTGGCCAGACATCCATGCACCTGCCTCCTGCCCTGGGAGCACCTGGCCAGCCCCTGCGTGTCCTTAAGGTAAGAACAACTCAGTTCCTCCCCCCCTCCTCCCCCTGATACACACACATACCTGGGAGGCTGGAACAAGGCTGGAGTGGGGCCGGAGGGTTTTGAGCTCTTCGTTGACATGAAGGAGTCTAAGTTTGGTGTTGTTTTTGTGCTACTGACCCACCCAGAAGTCCTACCAGATTAAGAACTCGCTTTCCTTCTCTGTATAATTCTCTTCCCTGAACTTCTGGAGACACTATGGCAAGCTGGCCCACCTGCCTCATCTCAAGACCTCACCCAGCTTCCTGGCTGCCCACCATACCCCTTCTTGTTTGTCTGCCCTTTGCTCCTGGGAAAGGAAATGCCAGGTGAAACTCGGTCCCTCTGTGTCCTCTCCCCCAGGCCCCTCTAGCTGCAGCTGCGCCCCCCTGCAGCCCGCTCCTCAAAGCGCCATCCCCAGCGGGTCCCTCACATAAGGGCAAGAAGACAGTCAACAAGGACAGTCTTGAGTACCGGCTGCGACGAGAGCGCAACAACATCGCTGTGCGCAAAAGTCGGGACAAGGCCAAGAGGCGCATCCTAGAGACACAGCAGAAGGTGCTGGAATACATGGCGGAGAATGAGCGCCTGCGTAGCCGCGTGGAGCAGCTCACCCAGGAGCTGGACACTCTCCGCAACCTCTTCCGCCAGATCCCTGAGGCTGCCAACCTCATCAAGGGTGTGGGGGGCTGCAGCTGAGCCTGCTGGCAGACAGTGGGCACCAGACAAGTGGCCTGACCTTGGGGAACTCCCTCTATTCGGGTGCTAGAACCCTTCACAGGCTGAGCCCAAAGACACAGACCATGGACAATGGAAGCTGGTGGCTAAGGACTGCAGGACCCATACTGATTCTGTGGCTGAATAAATTGCACTGTGACTTGGTGCTGCGGCTGTTCACTCTGTGTGTGTGTGTGTGTGTGTGTGTGTGTGTGTGTGTGTGTGTGTGTGTGTTGGTATAAGGAACCAACCCTGAGGGCAGAGAATGCATGTGGTTTGGTCTATGTATGTTTCTACATATGTAGAAACACAGATCTACTGCTATACACAGACATGCTGTCCACAGCTTTCCCACAATACAACACAAAACACAGCATCAGCACACAGCCAGGCAACATCTGTCAGTCTGCTCTTCTCACCTCCTTGTTCTCCTACCCTGTAAGCTGAGGCAGGCTTCCCACCCCCACTACACACATAGGGCCTGGAACAACCTCTAGATGCTCTCCTGACAGATCCTTGAGGCTTATTAAGGCCATCCCAACATCACCTACCATGTCTCCCTGGCCAGGAATGCCCACCCCAGCTGCTCTCTCACTTTAAAGTCAGGCAGCTCCTGCCCCCAGTGACCAAGGGAAAGATCTGACGGCTCTGCTGTGCATTTGTGGTCCTTCTGACCGGTTCCACAATCTCATACTACCAGACTCACCCATCCACTCCCATCTTTATCCTTCCTCCCAAGCCTCTGGTTCACCACCCTGACAATCTGGGTGCCTAGAGGAGGGATTGGTTGGGCCAAGCCGCGAGATCTGATTTGTATGTGAAAATACTGTCAACAGGAGGGAAGAGAAGGAGGAAGAAAAGGAGGAGGAGGTTGGAGGAGGGGAGAAGAGGAGGAGAAGGAAAGAAAAGGAGAAGGGAGCAGGAGGAGGAGGAGGGCTGTCTGTGCCTGTGAAATCCCATGTCTAAAGCATTTCCTTTTTCATACAGCAGCCTAGGAGACAGATTAGAGCAGTAATTGAGTGCCTCAAAACAGAGGCTATTTTCTGCTGTTTACTATCTGGATGACCTTCAGCCAGTTACTTCTCCCTTCAGTGCCTGCCTCAGTTTCCTCATCTGAATGGCACAAAGTAAGCACGAGTGTTTGTCAATTCAAATTTTGCTAGACTTGAGGGGACCTCAGAGATCTCATCTGAATTTCTCCTTTGGCAGTTGAGGAAACTGAGCTGTCTGAGAGGGAAAGAGATTTATTCAGAATCAAAATGAGCTCCATAAAAATCACAGACCTCAAGAGGTACTGAGAGAGACCTCAAGAAATTCTCTGGTGAGCTTCGCCTTCACACAAGCAAGATAGTGCGAGCCACATCTTGTAGATAAAGCAGGGAGGGCCAGAGGGGCTGAGAGGCCATCTCCTGAAGCTCATTCGGTCCCTTGATGCCTCAGCACTTATCTTTCTCCTCTGTGTTCAACTCCCTCACACCCCAAAGTTTTACAGTGTGGATGGGGTACATGAACTATAGTCAAGAAGTAATCATGAGCCGGGCTCCGGTGGCTCATGCTTGTAATCCTAGTTACTCAGGAGGCTGAGATCTGAGGATCATGGTCAAAGCCACCCCGGGCAGGAATGTCCCTGAGATTCTTATCTCCAATAAACCACTAGAAAACCAGAAGTGGCGCTGTGGTTCAAGCGGTAGAGTGCTCGCCTTGAGCTGTAGAGCACAGGGACAGCGCCCAGGCCCAGAGTTCAAGGCCCACAACCAACCAAAAAAAAAAAAAAAGAAGTAATCACGTAGCCAAGAGCCAGTGGCTCATGCCTGTAAATTCTAGCTCCTTGGTACCTACGAGGCTGAAATCTGAGGATTGAAGTTCAAAGGCAATCTGGGCCAGGCGCCAGTGGCTCACACCTATAATCCTAGCTACTCAGGAGGCTGAGATCTGATGATCGAAGTTCAAAGTCAATCCTGGTAGGTAATTCCCTGTGAGACTCTTATCTCCAATTAACCACCAGAAAACTGGAAGTGGCACTGTGGCTCAAATGCCTTGAGCTGAAGAGCTGAAGGACAGCATCCAGGTTCAGAGTTCAATCCCCATGACCAACCCCCCCCCAAAAAAAAGAGTGAGAGAAGGGGCAACATTGTCCAAAAAGAAATCTACTCTTTTTCTTTTTTTTTTTTTTTTTGTCGGTCATGAGGCTTGAACTCTGGGCTTGGGTGCTATCCTTGTGGTCTTCAGCTTAAGGCAAGCCCTTTACCACTTGAGCCACAGCACCACTTTTAGTTTTCTAGTGGTTAATTGGAGATAAGAGTCTCATGGACTTTTCTGCCTGGGCTGGCTTTGAACCATGATTCTCAGATCTCAACCTCCTTAACAGGATTACAGAAGTGAGCCACCGGCGCCCGGCTAAAAAAATGTACTCTTTACCTGACTTATGTAACTGTAACCCCTTTCTACATCAGTTTTATAATAACAATTTAAAAATTAAAAAAATAATAAAAAGGAACAGAAGGTGAAAGAAAAGGAGAGAAAGAAAGGAAGGAAGGAAGAGAAGGAGGGAGGGAGGAAGAAGGAAGAGGAGTATGGGAATGTGGTTTAGTATTAGAGTGCTTGCCTAGCACGCATGAAGTCCTAGGTTCCATTCCTCATAAACAGAGAAAGCTGAAGTAGTGCTGTGGCTCAAGTGGCAGAGTGCTAGCCTTGAGCAAAAGAAGCTCAGGGACAGTTCCCAGGCCCGAGTTCAAGCCCTAGGACTGGGAAGGAAAGAAAGAGAGAGAGAGAGAGAGACAGAGAGAGAGAGAAAGAGAGAAGGAAAGAAGGAAGGAAGGAAAGAAGGAAGGAAGGAAGGAAGGAAAGGAGGGAGGGAGGGAGGGAGGGAGGAAAACTCTCTGGAGGGAGAGACTTGTATCTGGGCCATCCCAGTCCTCTGTTTGTCTCTGTTTCCCTCCTCTCTAGACCCCTATGGTACAACCTTCCTATATCTCAGGCATCCATGTGCACCAACTCTACCTCAGCTAGAACTCAGCCGCAGATCTGATTTGGGTTTGTAAACCAGAACCTGTAAGTGGAAGCTGCCTGAATTTGGGAGAGGGAGGAGCCTGTCTCTATGACACCTGGGAGAATCCTAGCACCTTCCCTTCAGTCCAGAGGATGGGTTGCATAAGGGGGTTGCACAGAACTCGGCAAGTGACTCAACCTCCGGATTTCCTCCTCTCAGCTCAAGACCACTACCCCTTGACTTCTTTTCAAGGCATGGACGGTGGGACCTGGGTTGCCTCAGCCTCAACCCAAACTTCCCATAGCTCTGAATTGTGTTTCCTCCCAGCCCCTCACCCACCTATCACTCCTCAGGGTGGGTGCCTGGTAGAACCCTTCTGATTGGCACCAAAGCTGAAAAGCCAGCTAGAAGTGACATGGAGCAGTAGAGCACACTACAATCCTTTCTGTCACATCCCATCTCAGGGGATTACTGCCAGCCGAATGGCTCAGAGTCTAAAGAGGCGTTCAATTTTGCTTCAGCTGGTCTTGGTGAAAACAGCTTATAGTAAATATCAACTTTTCTGTGAAGAAGACAAATTCTCAGCTGATGGGGGAGGAAGAAAAAGGCAATAAATAAATGTGCATACCAGGTGCTGGTGACTCATGCCTGTAATCCTAGCTAGTCAGGAGGCTGACATCCAAGGATTGTGGTTCAAAGCCAGCCCATGCAGGAAAGGCCATGAAACTCTTATCTCCAATAACCTACTAAAAAAAAGCTGGAAGTGGAGCTGTGGCTCAAGTGGTAGAACACTTGCCTTGAGCAAAAGAAGCTTAGGGACAGCACCTAGTCCCCGAGTTCAAGCTTCAGGACTGATAGAAATAAAAAAGAAAGACCTCTCAGAGGAGTGACATTTAAGTTGAAACCTGAAAATGTTCAAAGGCTAATGTGTCATTGGGTCAAATCTTAACAGAGGGAAAAGCAAAGGCAAAAGCTGTAGCTCAAGTAGTGGAGCACAGGCTGGGAATGTGGTTTAATGATAGAGTGCTTGCTTGCCTAGCAGGCATGAAGCCCTGGGTTCGATTCCTCAGTACCACATTTAAAAAAAAAAAAAAAAGCCAGAAGTGGTATTGTAGCTTAAGTGGTAGAGCACTAGCCGTGAGCAAAAGAAGCTCAGAGCCAGTGCCCAAGCCCTGAGTTCAAGCCCCAGGACTGGCAAAAAAAAAAAAAAAAGTAGTTGAGCACCAGCCTTGAGCAAAAAAGCTAAGGTATAGTGTCCAGGTCTCAAGTTCAAGCATCAATATGACATACATGTGCACAAGTATGGACGTACACACACACACACACACACACACACACACACACACACACACACAAACACACACACCACACAAATCACTCAAATCAAGATCCCAAACAAGTTATACACATTGCTTTTGCTTTAGAAACTGCTTTTACTTCTTAACAGAACTAGGGACCGGGACAAGAGAGAGTGGACAGGGTATGAGGCCACAAGAAAGCTTTAAGGAGAAAAAAGGTTGGGGGAACTATGGAAAAGAGGGAAGACGTTATCCAAGGTGAGACTGCCAAGGTCAGCCAGCCACAGTGGTGGTGGCTTGTGAAAGCTGCCCGCCCCCCCTTTGCAGGGTGCACACCTCCCTGTCAAGCACATAGATTGCCACATGTCTGTGCCCCCAAGGCCACCATCCCGGTGTTGCAAGATCCCGGTTGGGGTTGTGGTGGAAAGGGGCCTCTTTACCTCCTGCTCCATGCTGGTGATAGGACTCTGGAAAGGAGGTATAAGAGACAGCAAAGATGAGAGCCTATGAATTCCCCTAGCACTCTCTCTCCTCAACCTTACTCCAGCAGGCAGAGCCCTCCTCGAAACTGAGAGTGGACAGGACTCCTAGGGGCCTCTGTCAGCTGCTTCCAGAAACAAGAAAGCCTGTCCAGCCTCAGAAAAACCAATGGGGAGACAGGGTGGGTGTTTGCATCAAAATGGCCCTGGCCTGTGACTACAGTTTTAG